CATTACAATGCCACTCTTTCACCCAACACCAAGTGTGTGCTTTTCAGAGCACGTATAAATTCAGATTCAAATGTACTGTGCATCAAAGTAAACAAACAAACACTGTTACTACTACCGAACATTTCAGCTAGAATAAACAATAGCTTAGGGTAATATTTTAGTTGAAACAAATCAGGTGGTTGTTTCCACGTGTTGAACTGGAAATTAACAAATGGTCAATGCCATTCTTCTAAGTGGTAATTATAAAATAAATCTATTTAGCTTTCCATAGAAAACGTTGGGTAGGTTGGCATACACATTTATGTGTATACATCCAGACTCAAAGAGAGATCAGACTTTTTTTAAAAAAAATTAATCTTTACATCGTATACCAAAAGCTAAGTTTAAGCAATCTGTCAATATAAAAAAAGTTGCTGAATCCACTTAGCATTCATATAGGGCTTTGTTTACTTGCATCACCTCGCCTTCTGTGTTAAAAAAAAAAAGAACATTTCAAATTACCCCCCTCGAATATTTCAGTTAACACTTCAAAACGTGCCCATATTTTATTGCTGTTAATTGGCTAAGATGAATTACGGTAGCGACTGGGTTTTTATTCAAAGTTCTCTTTTATCAGATGTGTGAGCGAAAGCAGGGAAATGCAGTTGTTCCCACGTGAATAATCCCTAGATGCATTACAAATGTTGGGCAACTCTGAGAAATTCTTTTAGTCTTTGCATTGAATAAGAAGAAGGGGGGAAAGGCTTGTAAACTGGAATAATAGCTGTCCTACCAACTACAGCATGACGCAAGAAACACAAGAAAAGGGGGCAAGCAGATCTGAAGTATACTAACAGTGATCAGAACTCCACATCTTCTGGACTGCAATTTTGATTTTCATTCGGGCAGATAGGGAAAAGTGTGGAGGCCAGAAAAATTTAAGGTACATCACCACCACATAAAAACCAGTTACCCCAGTCACCCCGTTTTCTGAGCAGAAGTGTAATCCAGTAACCAACAGTCAAATACTATACACATAGATTTAAAAACACGAGCGACACAGACACAAACAGAATTATAGCTTGGTTAATACTTAGGTAAGACATAAAGCCTTTTCCTCACTATGCATAAACACATTCTTAGAAAAAAATATACGCACCAACTAATGCATCACTGTAGTTTAAAGAATCTCGATGTCTAGTGGGTCTGTTTTTATTTTAATCTTTCTTATTCCTGAGGCAGGCTTGTGCATATCTCAGGAACACATCTCCAGTATTATCAGTTAATATGAAACGCGTGGTCTTTGAAAAAAAAACCTTACAATTCCATGTATGTGCTTCCCTGAAAAATATGCCCAGTACTTTGCCCCCCTCCCCAACTTTACTGGACTTTGCACACGTGAAAATATCACCTACAGATAGATTTCCCCCATGCTACGGGGGCCAGAAATGTGTATAGCTCAGAACCATAATCATTGTCATCTGCAAACTGCGATTAGAACAGTACAAAGTAAAAATCTACCTCAGGGAGTCAGCTGTGCTCTTCTTTTATTTGGCTGGCGAGAACGCTTCTCTTTGGGTTTGTTACCATCTGCAGAGATTGTCCGAATTTGGGCTACACCGCGCTGGCAAGTTAAGAAATAGGATTCAAGAAAAAGCTGTGATATAGCGTGAAAGTATTTGGCGTAAGAATTGTTTTATCTTTCCTCCTCCCGCCACACATCACACACCTATACCCTGGAAAAATGGAGGAGTGGAAAGTTTATGAAGCCACAGACAAACACTTAAAAACTCCTGGACAATGCAACCATGACACCTATTGTATTATTATCCTCACACAATTAAGGTAAGCCCACCTCCCCCTAAATATACTGTATTCCCAAAAGAAGAACGCACCGGTTATAAAATAAATCAAAAGAGCAACGACTCTTCTTTGTTGCCTTTCCAGTCCCTCTAATTATGTTACTGCTTTCCATTTAACTTTAAATCTGTTGCAAGACTCCTGTTCAGACCACAGTCTTTTGATGGCAACAAGTGGTGTGAACCAGCAAAGTAGCCAAACGTCCTCTTACCCTTTCTTAAAGGAATGACATGTATACATTGTACGTTGCCTACTCCACTTTTTTAAATCCAAAAAGATCAGCTCAGTTGGTCACACCTAGTAATGAAAGTCCATTTTACAAATAAATGATCATATTTGCATTTGTTATCTATATTGCTGTATTATTTATAATACTCATCTAACCACAGTGCCATCTTAAACTGTTCGAATCCTTTAAAAAAACATTTTGAATTACAAAAATAAATCCAAGACTCAAACGTCACGTCAGTTGTCCATATGTTGAAAATTTATTTATCTCAAACTGTGCATAATGGAGTAAAAACTTAAGTTGAATATGTACCTGTTATAAGGATGGTATTAGTTCAAATATATACATGGACTGTCGGCAGACTGATTTCAAATAATACAGAGCCGAATCTTTAAAATACAACTACGGAAAATAAGAAAAAAGAACTTAAAATATCATCACAATAAATTTACAGAAATATTACAAACCATAAGAAAATATTTCAAAACACAGTAATTTCAGTGTTTTTTGTTTTTGTTTTTGTTTTTTTTAAATCTGAACAGGATGAAGTTTGGAAACAAAAAAGCTATTATAAATTAACAAACGGCGTGTGACCCTGCATGGCAATTTCTGCTTTTTAACAATAAGTAAAAAACAAAAAACAAAAACAAAAAATTACAATCTAAACTCTTGCTCTTTTATAGCAAAACAATTCAGTGGTTTTGCAAGTACGTATCCTAACTTCTTTCCTTTTGTACAATTTCTAAAACAATTAAAATGTCCAAATTTTGTAAAATAATATCCACTCTACAGCTGCTATAAATTCAGCTGCAGTTATCACGATTTTCCAAGTCGACTGTTTTTATTTTTATTTTTTGTTTGTTTTTATGAATTGGCAAATTCTCAAGTTTTTTTTTCTATCTAAACAATGGACATTCTGATTGCCATGTTTATTTTGATAAATACTGTACAAAAGTTGCTTGCAAATATTAAAACATTTTTCTCGTCGCTTTTTGAGACTAGCTCTAAATATTATTGGTAAAGACTTCTGCAAACTTTCTGCAAAGTTCCTACCGTTTCTCTAGAACTTTTTAAAAGTTTTGTGTAGTTTCTTCCCCCTCCAGATCTATACAAGTTCCTTGATGGTTTTATTTACGCCCTCCCCAGTTTTCTCTGTACAAAAATAGTCCAAAAAAAGTCCAGAATCTCTAATAAAAGTGTTTTTTGTTTGTTTCTTTGTTTTGTTTAGTTTTCCTCCCTCCTCCCCCCCCCCAACCCTTTTGTCTTACATATGTGATAGAGGAAGTGTGCCATTAATGGCTGTACCAGGAACAGGTGCACTCTGGTAGTGTTGGGACATATGAAGTCTGCTTGGGGCAGCTGGTTCTGGTACTTCAGCACCTGGTAGATACATGCTGATCATGTCCCGAAGGTCCCCAGCTTGGCATGGAGCCCTTGAATGGGAAGAAGAAGTGACTACGGGGGGACTGGAGCTCGACTCTGTCTTGACCACGGACCCCATGGATCCCAGGGCCATCCCCGGGGTCCCTTGTTGGGAGTAAGACATGCTGTAGGTGGGCGACCCGTTCATGTAAGTCTGCGAGCTGGTCATGGAGTTGTACTGCAGGGCGCTCACGTCGTAGCGGTGCATGGGCTGCATCTGAGCCGCGTTGTGAGCGTTCAAGCCCGGGTGCTGTGGGTAGCCGAGCTGGTCTTGCATCATCCCATAGCCTCCGTTGGTCCAGCCGTTCATGTGCGCATAACTGTCCATCCTCTGGTTCACCCCAGCGCCCAAGGTGGCCCCAACCCCTACCCCAGTGGTCATGGAATTGCTGCCGGGGGCCAGCAAGCCGCCGGGTAATGTGTACTTATCCTTCTTCATGAGGGTCTTGGTTTTCCTCCGGGGTCGGTATTTATAATCCGGGTGTTCCTTCATGTGCAGGGCGCGGAGCCGCTTCGCTTCGTCAATGAACGGTCTCTTCTCCGCCTCGGATAAAAGTTTCCACTCCGCCCCGAGCCGCTTGCTGATTTCGGAGTTGTGCATTTTCGGGTTCTCTTGGGCCATCTTCCGCCGCTGGCCCCGGGACCACACCATGAAGGCGTTCATGGGTCGCTTGACCCGGTCCGGACTGTTCTTCTGGTTGTTGGCTGCCGAGTTGGAGTTGCCCGTGCCTCCCCCCGAAGTTTGCTGGGGGGCGGGAGGCTTCAACTCGGTTTCCATCATGTTGTACATTCAAACGGCTCTTGCCTGGTACAAGCCTTCGGCGGAGAAGCGAGAGATGCAGCCGCCGCCACAGGAAAGTCTCAAGCTGGACTTTTTTTGGTGGTGGTGTTGTTGTTGTCGTTCCTAGGGAGGGGTGTGGAAGGGGGAGGGGGACTCCCCAAAAACACACACTTGGCTCAGGGTTCGAGGCTTCCTCTTGGCGGATGGATTAATAATAATAATAATAATAAAATTATTATGCTCACTGGAGCCTTGGTGGAAATACAACTTCTTCCTCCTCCTTTTCTCCCTGCTCCTTCTTAAAGAGCCAGCAAACTACTTTCCCCCCTTTTGCAAACACTCTCTCTCTCTCTCTCTGCCTTGACAAGTCCTGATACTTTTTTGAACAAGTTAATAGACAACCATCCATGTGATGGGGGCTTGTCAGGGAATAAATGCGTTTGCCCTGGCCAATCAGCGCGCGCCGGCTCCTCCACTGAGCACAAGTCTCTACCCCTGGTTTTGCATGAAACGGGGCGGGGGCTCGGAGCCGCCGCCGGGACGGCTCTGCGGGGGGAGGCGGGTGCGCAAGGCAGGCGAGGCAGCCACTGGGAAGCCTTTGGCTCTCCTCTGACAGCAACAGGTCACGCACGCCTGTTGGAGGAAGTGGGGGAAACAGCGTTGTTGCTACATTAAAAAAACCCAACAACAACCCCCCCCCCCAAACCTGGGGCTGGGGGAAAGAAGGGGAGGGCAAAGCCACTGGACTGGGGCAGCCAGGGACGGGCACAGCTGTGCCAAGCCTGGTCTCCTTCCAGAAAGCATCGGAAGCCCTGTGTCCCCCGGGATGTTTTCCACCCCGGCCCCTCCGCAGTCCTAAGCGCCCTCCCCCCATAGCACCGATTAACACCGGATCAATACGTGCACCCTAAACGGGGCGCTCACCCGGTGCCGTGCCAGCTAAGCACAGCTGACCCCCTCCTCCCCCCCCAGCGCTCCTCGGCTCCTGGGGACTCGGCCCAGCCGCGCGGTGCGCGCATGCTGGAGTTGCGCGTCGGAGCCCACTTTTGAATCCCTTTCTTTTGTTCCTCAACGGCAGGGAAGTTTGATCGCGCTCCTCCGAGCCCAGGGTTTGGCTGCATCCTTCGCCTCTCCCTCCCCCCTCCCCACTTCCCCGTCGCGGGCCCTTCCCCATTCAGACCCAGGAAAACAACCCAAACCGTCCTCCACTCCAGCAGCCTCCCAGAAAGAGGGGCTTTTTAGTGTGTCTAATTTAAACAAAGGGGGGGACCACGTTAAATACACGGTATTTCCATGTACCCATCAGCTCCCTAATAACAAGTCCCTACAAAGGAGAGGCCCATTGAAAAACAAACAAACAAAAAGACCAGCAAGCCCCGAGGTCTGTATTGGAAGGGGATCGATCTCCTCACACGCCCCATCGCCACTTATTTCTCAGATGGAAAGTACTTTTTGGGACTGTCCCCTGCACAACGCGGGGCTCAGCAGTGCCCGGGCTAGCCTGGCCCAGGTGCTGGGACGGGGCGCGTGGAGGTGAGGCGACTTGCGGGAAAGTGGGCAGGAGACAAGGAACCGGAGAGAGAAATGGGGAATGCGCTTTAGACACCGGAGGGTAATTTTAGACTCTCCCCCATTGTCCCGATGTAAAGATTTCAATAGGTGGGAGCTCAATGCTGGAGAGAGATGGCAGCACGTCCGTTACAAATAGGTAGTTTTGTTTCTCTTGTTGTCACTACACGGTGCCAAACAAAGCCCCGGCTAAGTTTACTTCCACTCTCTTGTGGGGATCTTTGTGGCTAAAATGCACTTGAGTACAAAGAAAGAAAGAAAGAAGAAAAAGAAAAAGCCTCACGCCATTTCTCTTCTATGAAGTGCTTAAGCGATCAGGGGCTTCCCCTCACCTCAACTTTCCCCCCAAACTGAAAATGTAGCGATTTCTATCGACAGGCACGTTCCATTTGTTAACTCGGGAAAATAGATTATTTTCTTTCGCGGTGCCTCTGCGCCCACACCTCCCCTTTACGCCCTTTTTGTACCGAGGCGTGTGTGAGGCCGGGGGTTCTGGGGCAATTTTTATAGCGGGGGTATGTGTGTGCTGAGAACTGTTCAACCAAACTGGAAATCCTGTATATAATGGAAACCACTTCAAACCAAGGGGTGCTTCAGCTCCCCCCACCAGCTCCAGCACCTAAGTGTGAGGCTTCTGATTTCAGGCTCTCCCAAGTTCAGTCGGCTAAATCTGCACAAGAAAACACCGGATCGTAAACAGACTGCTCCAGCTTTTTAAATAAAGTTTGTTTCAACAAAAGCATTGGGGGAGTGTAGGGCTGAGGGCAGAAAGGAGGTGGGGAGGGGGGAGATCGCCCTCATCGAGATATATTTTTATTTTACTCTTTAGAGACATAGATTGTAAAATCTTCTATATTTAAACTGTTCATCGGATTAAACCAAAATGCTGAAAGAATGATTTAGAAATACACACACACAAAAGGAGATGAGGCATATTGAGAGAGGGCTGCCTTGTACTTTCTGAGCTGGGGGTTACAGGTATGGGACTGCTGCGCCCCCTACTGGTAGATTTATCTCCCAGAGAATGTCCCTCCCTTTACTTTGAAAATAAAATGTTTTGAAATAATAAAGGAAAGGGGGGAAAACCCACGAACTAAATAATTATATGTAATCTAAATAATAAATAAACCCCAACAGCACGAATGCATCTTTTATGGATTATGCAAATATAACCTACCGGAGTTAATGTGTTTAATTCGAAAATGTACGTATAGCCCATAGAGTGATAGGTTAAACCATAGAAAAATAGGTACAAATTATGAGATTCAAGATATAAACGAATCCTGATTCTCCAGACACTACCGAGGGCACACCAACTATTTACTTTGTTATTGTTTATGCTTTGGTCTGCACTTGATAACATTATTCCAAAAAATCTTATGGATAATTAAGTTTGAAAAAAGGGGGTGGGTGTGGGTGGTAGTGGTGTTTGTTTATCGTAATAAATTGATAACTGATGGCTGGTGTTATACAACCAAGGCGTATTTTTATTCTCCGCTCCAGCTACAGAGGCAGAAGCAGTTGGAATTTTGTGTGTATGTGATTCTCAGCTGAGGCAACGCAAGGAGAGATTTTACACATAACTAGATGCATATATTTGTGCCTGATCTCTATAATAACACATTGAAGAGGTTAAAGTGGCTGGCTTGGCTCTTTGTTAATTGCATTTATCATATAAATAAGGTATGGAAATACCTAACAATTGTGTTATCATGAGTATTTACAGCTTTATTTTAATTAACGGTGTTTTACTTATCAATGCAATAAACTGTCTCTGGCATATATACATAATAATGTGCTATAGAAAATAAGATAAAGAGATAGCTCTTTCAGAAAAATGTCCCAGTTTCCTGTATACATATGTGTCTCCCTATATCGGGTTACTGGCTACTCCTTTAAGCAATATACAAAAAAAAATTCCATGAAATCGGAGTACCTCAATCTTAATAATTAACAAGAATAACAACAACATTCTATTGAAGAATATAGACATTTTCAAAAGGAGGCCTGGAGAAGGATGGTGTAATCTGAATGAATTTAAAAATCGTTGCCTTTGGTATAATTTATGGAAATGAAAAGTGCTTACGTTAAACTACTAGTCTGCAAACCTTCTCAGCGATGGATTGTTAGGCACAGTCACTTTTATTCCTAGGTTGAGTCTATGAACAAGAAAATTGATGTTAACTACGTGGATTTTTATTTATTTACTGCTCTGACACAGGCTCTACCCACCAATTTCTTATAAAAGCGCGGAAGATACAACCTATCGTGTTAACTGTAAAAGAAATAATACATACAGATTATTTCTGTATTGACCCTACCAGTAACAAATCTAAAGCAAACTATTAAGCAGTCTTGTGGAGACGGAAGATTTCAGCCCTATTTTTTGTCCTTAGCTGCAAATAGAGGTTTAACTTGCAGTAATTAGGTGAGAACTAGCCAAGCATCTTACTATTATGATGCTTGTTAAAAACGCTTCTTTTCTGCATCTGCATTTGAGTGTGTTCCCCTCCAGTCTTAATCTTCTTATGGAAATGAAGGCGAACGGCAGGGAACCTGCAGAGACTTAGAGAATGTCCTTGTTAACTGGAATTTCTCAGCATTGCTAATTAGCAGAGTTTGACGACCACCAGTATTGGGGAAAGCTCTGTTTAGCCACTCACAAACCCTTCCGAGGAAGAGCAGACTAATTTTATTTTGTAATTAAAATCTGAAAAGGGCCCTATTTGACAGTTAGGGCTATGAGAGTTTTATCTCCCTGTGAAATAATTACTGCCTTGATAACTCAATTTTCTGCAAAATGTCAACTGTGAGCTCCAAAAGTTTTAATTTCATTACGTTAAAAAAAATCTAAAGACGAAAATGTACAGACAACTCCCCCCCCCTTCTAATTCTGGAACCAGTTAACCACACAGGAGAAGCTAAAGTTAGCCAATGGAAGTTTTACCACGCTAACTATATAACCCAATCTCCAAGTAACTTTAAAATACCACATGGGAAGCATAAAAGGTGGTGGTGGAGAAATACCCCAAAATATTTTTTTTCTCCCAGAGGAAAGTCTCCCAGAGAAGAACACCAAGGTTCAGGCCAATACTGATGTAGTTTTGATAGGGAAAGCTTTGTTCACTTACATCCATTAATAACTATGGGGGCGTGGGGGGGATCATGTACTGAAGATATTACAAGTAAGAGTTAAGCTGATTAGCCATTTTCTTTAAATGCCGCAATGTCGTGAAATCTTTGAAATATTATAAGGAAAACAGACAATTTTGTGTGCCTTTCTTGAAGCAACTAATTACAAAAGCTTGCATCTTAAACAGCTTACAAAGCAAGCGCTTAATATTTTGTTTACCTTGTTAAGTTTTCAAAGAGAGGGAAGCCTCACAACCTTAATAACAATCTCTGGGCTGTTAAAGGCACCGAAATCAACTTCAAAACTTGCGTTGGAAGTAACCTAATTGCGGGTGAGATACGAGCGCCCCTCTCTCCCGTCCCGGTTCGAAGGGATTACAAAACCCACCCCATTTTCAAAACTCCGCTTCCCTAAACCCGTGTTGGTTGTTGGTTTCTGGAGGGGGTCAGGATGAGTGGAAGGTGAATAATTTGAACGGGGAGGGGGGAGGGAATGGACACGCTGAAGCAAGTGTAATCCACCCTGCTTACATTTTAGATATTTTTTGATTATTTAAAACTGTTTAATCTGCTTTTTGTTCCTGTCTGTCCAGCAAGCAGCCCGATTGTAATGCTCAGAAGTGGCATTATACGTACAAACGAACGAGGGGTGGGATGGGGTGGGGATGACAAATGCTTCAGCCAAACCCAATTTCACCCAATAATTTCATTCAAGGACTCTAAGGACTCTTGAAAAGCTGCGGAATGCAGAGCGAGCTCCGCATTCCTTCCTTGTGCCTTCTTTCATCCT